GTGGGTGCACCTGAAACCACGGGGACTGAAATAACGGGTGCGTGGGGCAGCCTGGGACACCCCGGGTGCTGCAGACACCTGAAAATCGGGGTGCATGGGACCCCCCGGGTGCGCGACACCCCAAGCAGCTGCAGTCAGGGTGCATGGGGTGCCTTAGGGTCTGGGCACGCTGAGGCCTGGGTGCATAAATCCTCCACAGACACCTCAAATGCTGAGTGCACCCTGGGGTGCACACTGGACCCTGCCGCTCTGCGGGGCACCCAGCTTTGGGACTGGCCCCGCACAAGGCTCCCCCACCGCTGTGGGCGCTCCGCAGCAGGGAAGCGGTGTTGGAAAACTCCTGCAGAGGTTCAGGAGCTGGCTTTGAGCAGGGGGGTGGTCTGCATGATCCCCAGAGGCCCTGGAACCCGGGGGGGGGGCATGGGGGGCTTGTCTGGCCACCCTCCCAGCGCTGCTCCTGGCTTGGCCGAGCACCTCTGGGCTCTCGCCCCCGAGGCGCAGTGCAGGGCGAAGCAGAGCCCACCCAGGGGAGCTGCCCGGCTCTCGAGGAGGTGCCCTGGGTCACGCATGCCTGGAGACACGTGGAGAGCAGACGGCGCCCGGCTCTCGTGTCGCGGCTGCGTTAGTGTGGCCGCAGATTAACCCTGGCAGAAATATTCCTGTGCCATCGTGCTGCTCTTCTGCTGTGTACTGTACATCTCCGCCACCGATTTGCTCGGGGAGGAAGGTCTGCAGGAGAGAGATAATCGTCTTCAATCTGGTTTGCCCACAGACAATGGTGAAGTCACTGTCCTGCAGGCAGGAAGGCACGAGTTCCCCTTCACCTTCCAGCTCCCCGAGTAAGTTCACATTTTTCTTGTTGCCTTAATGCAAAGGGGGAGAGGAGCCGCTTGGTGCATGACACAGGTCCTGGGAGGGCCCAGGGCACCTCAAAAAGGAGATTCTTTCAGCAAAGCCCTTCTAAATTGCTCGTTGCTTCTACGCAGGACCCTGGCTACCTCCTTCGAGGGGAAGCACGGCAGCGTGCGCTACTGGGTGAAAGCCAAACTGCACAGACCCTGGTCGACAGTGAAGAAGGTGAAGAAGGAGTTCACTGTGATTGAACCCATCGACATCAACACGCCTGCACTGCTGGTGAGCTCCCCTGCTCCGCCTCGGGGCAGCGGCACCCAGAACTCCCCCGGGAAGCCTGTGAGGACGGTGTTTGCCTCCCCTCCGGCGTTACAATGCAGGCCTGACTGCCAGAGGGAATATTTGCCCCCCGTAACTTGTGCCCTCCGGCGTTACCTGCACTGGGCAGAGGTCACCTGTATCTCTTAGTTTTTTGGGAACTCCAATGCATTGCAACAGCATCTTGCATCAGATAACTGAGAAGTTGCTGATGCTCCCCGGCAGGTTCTCAGTGCCAGGGAGGTGCTTGTTTTGAGTTTCATCCTTTCTTACTAAATAGCTGAAATATTTTCCTTTCTCCAGGCTCCCCAGGCAGGCGCTAGGGAGAAACTCGCTCGTGCCTGGTACTGCAATCGTGGCCAGGTCTCCGTGACTGCCAAGATTGACCGAAAAGGCTACACTCCAGGTGAGATGACATGCCAGTGCCCTTAAACCTCTGCGGGCCCTGGGGCAGACCCCAGCAGGAGGGGATTTGCAGTCGCTGTGAGCTGGGCTCTTGCCTTCTGGCAGGAAATCGGTGGCAGAGCTGCAGCGTGCGCACCTGATGCGGCCAGCCTGCCGCTGGACTGAACCTTGCGCCTGCAGCGCCGGATAGCTCAGCTGAGCCTGTGCCGGAGCTCCCTGAGGCAGGACCGGGCTCCGTCTCCCCTCCTCCAACATGTGTGTCTGTTTTGGTAGGTGAGGTCATCCCTATCTTTGCCGAGATCGACAACTGCACAAGCCGAGCAGTGGTGCCCAAGGCGGCCATCATCCAGACTCAGACCTTCATCGCTCGGGGCACCAAGAAGCAGAAGAAGGCGGTGGTGACCAGCATCGTCGGTGACTCCATTGCAGCGGGGAAGCGGGAAGTGTGGCACGGGCGGGCGCTGAAGATCCCGCCGGTGGGTCCGTCCATCCTCCAGTGCCGCATCCTCCAGGTGGAATACTCGCTGAAGGTGAGGGACCTCGCGGGGAGCGTTGCGGGCGGCACAGCTCGGTGTTGAGCGTTCCCCTTCTCACCAGAGCTGGGCTCGTTGTGCCTGCTGCTTTTGGCTGGTGCAGAGATTTTGGGGGCTGGTCATTTGTGTGAGGTCTTGGGGTTCCCCCTGTGCAGCCGTGCCTGCTCTCCCCATTGCCCCTCACGCACAGCACGTGGGCTCGTGCAGGAGCATTCGCATCTCCCTTTGCATCCCAGTGCAAGAATTCCCTCCTGGCCAGCCCGAGCCAGTGCTCTGGGGAGATATCTGCCCCTCTGGACTGGGAAGACACCAGCTGCTAAGCTTCCCCGCTGTCTCCTGTCTCTGCAGGTTTGTGTGGATATTCCTGGGACGTCCAAGCTGCTCCTTGAACTGCCGCTTGTCATCGGAACGATCCCGCTGCATCCGTTCGGGAGCCGCACGTCCAGTGTCAGCAGCCAGTACAGCGTCAACCTGGACTGGCTGAGCACCATCCCGGAGCAGCCGGAGGGTGAGCGTCTCCCTCTCCCGGGATCTCTCTGGGTGCTGCAAATCCCCCTGGCCAACCCACTCTGGATTGACCAGTTCTCAAGCGTGCCTCTTGCTCCAGGACCAGCTTTTGAATTTTTGCTTAATTTTTTGGTTGTGGTGCTGCACCTCCTGTGCTCCCTCCCTGGGAACTGGGAGGGTTTGGGAAATACTGGATTTGAAGCCCTTTTACCCACTCTCCCATCAGTGGAGAGATGTTTCCTATTCCCTGATGCCTCCCTTCTCTCTTCAGCTCCCCCCGAATACTCGGCGGTTGTGTCCAGTCCGGAGGCCGAGCAGAGCCTGGCTCCGCCGTGCCGCAGCGAACTCGGCGGCATCCTGGAAGGTCCCTTCTTCGCCTACATCCAGGAGTTTCGCTTCCGACCACCTCCTCTGTACTCGGAGGTAACAAATCCCCCTGGGCTGGGAGGGCTGCTGGAGATGGCTGGGATGTGCCCCTTGTCGAGGTTTTTGAGTCTGAACTTGGCTTTGCAGATTGATCCAAACCCTCCTTCAGACAACATCCGTCCACGCTGCATGACCTGTTGAGAGAAGCGCATCAGATGCGGTTGACAGCGTGGCGATCCCTTGGGATGAAAGCCTGTACCCTCGCAGCACTTCGGTCGGGACATGGGACATGGCCGTGGGACCAGAGCTCCTGCAGTGCCGAGCCCCCGGCTCCGCTCACTGCCCTCAACTGCTCTTGTCGTGACTGTCCTACGGACCGACACCACGCGTGGTGGTGTGGACTCGTGCGTGGTAGGAGAGCACACGAGACTCCGTGGTGTGGAGCGGCTCCGTGCGTGGCTGAGCAGGACGCGGAGGGTTGATAACTGCTCCAGGATTTGGGGGGTCAAAGGGGGGATATTTGCTCCCCCCTTGCCTGCAGCGGCCGTGCTCGGACAAATCCTGTCATGGAAAACAGGAGTTTGGAGGTATTTCTCGGGATGACTAGAGAATATTTTAACGTTGCTCGGGTTTGAGTCCTGTGGTGATGCAGGTGCAGCCCTTCTGCAGCAGCTCAGCAGGATTGCAGTTCCCTAAGAAAGTAAAAGGCCTTTTTCTGGCCAGATGAAGCAGAAACTTCATCTGCTGCTGATAAACTTCGCCGCGAGCCCGGTGATGCCCGGACGGGGGAATGGTTTGGGCTAGCCTGCCAAAACTGTGAAGGCTTCCGTCTGCTGTTACCAGGGCAGAGGACTTGGGGGAGGGATGGATCTGCGGCAGCGTTTTGGTGCCGTTTACCAAGAACGGGGAAGCTGGTTCCTGTGTGTCAGCACCAAACCTGCATAACGTGCTGATGCCTCTCCCGCGATGGGGCTGAAAACTGACCCCCAAACTGCGGTACCGGCACGGGGGTGCCGGAGCTGCAGCTCTGGCATCACCTCCCTGGAGGGAAGCCCGGCTCCGAGGCTGGGGGCAGCCACAGATGCTGGTGGAAGATGTGGAGCTGAAGGGAGTCCTTCAGGGCCAGGCGTCCTGCTCCGGATGGGCTTGATCCTGCACCCGTCGAGGGGCCGGCGGCCGTGGCACGACGACGACACAGCAGCAACCTCTGCTCGCCGGTACGGCAACTGGTGAGGCGGGTGTTGTAGGAAGGACCGCTCGAGCGTGCGTGCCGGGGCTGACCCCGGCTCGCTCCGGCACGACCCGAGCAGAGTTTGGGTGCTGAGGACCTTTGCATTCCCTCACTGAGACAATCCTGCCCGCGGGGCTGCTCGCTGCACGCTGAAGCCACGCGTGCCGTAGCCTCCGCGCTGGGGCCACGCTCTGCGCCCCGGGCATTGCTCAGAGAATTTTTTGTATCTGTGAACACTTTTGTAATGACCACTCCTGTCTCTGTTCTTTTTGCACAACTTTTTGTTGGGGTATTTTTGCTCAGAATAAATTCTTTAAAGCCAGAGGCTGCCTGGATGTTTTTCTGTTGCTCTTTTCCACTTCC